GTCATATTAATAAATTTCAAGCACTCTTCCGGAAAACAAGTTTTGCAGTTTCCTGCCATAGAATCTAATTCGTTATTAATGTAGTTTACGGTGGCCATTGTTTAAAAATAAGGTAATAACAAACAGTGTCATTATATATTTGTAGATAGACCATTGAGTTAGATATGATTATAGAAGTATTGGCAATTACTATTGGGAGGTAGATATTACTGTGTGCGGGAAGATACCGGGGGGTTTGTGTGACTATAATTGTATGAGTTATATGGAGTAGTTGTAAAACTGTGCTGTGTAGAATAGTGTGCTTTAAATAAGTGTTTGTTTGTTTAGATAATATTATAAAAATAAACATGATCTTATTAATATTACGAGCAAAGAAAAATATAAAATAAGTATAGTAGCTAGTTAACTGTTCATACAGTCATGTGCTATTGTTACCTATGTTCAGCAGACATTTTTCTGAGGTTATCTTTATCAGCTTCTCGTTCTCCTGATTACGGAGAAAGATGTTCCCGTTGGCAGTCCAGCAAAACTTGAATAGATTGTATGCTATTTTTATACCTCTCAGCGGTAAGGGGAACCCTCCCTAAAATTTTTATAATAAATATGTCAGTCAAGTTGTTAAAGTACATTGAATCAAGAAAATGAATTGTTAGTGTTTTGTTATTTTTATAGGCCGTCATAGGCCGCAGCGCTCCATTCCTATTTTAGCATTTAGTGTCACCCCCTTAAAATGTGGTTCAAAAATGGTTATGCGCTGGTCGATATCATTATATTAATTACTATTTCAAAGTTGCAAGACAGAGCCCAAATGAGCGTTGTATACATAAAATATAATTCGGTAACGCACGCCAGGTGACTTTTATACGATGGCTACCGAAATACCGGTGTTAAGGAGCACGGCTTGGGTTATTGTAAGACTGTATCTTTTAGTATTGTTTTGTACCCTTATTGTTGTTTATTGTGTATGCGCCGCGTTGTTAAGGAACACGGCTTGGGTTATTGTAAGACTGTATCTTTTACTATTGTTTTGTACCCTTATTGTTGTTTATTGTGTATGCGCCGCGTTGTTAAGGAACACGGCTTGGGTTATTGTAAGACTGTATCTTTTACTATTGTTTTGTACCCTTATTGTTGTTTTATTGTGTATGCGCCGCGTTTCCGCATTGGCGCGGGGAAAGGATAGCGGGGGGACTGTTGCACGTGGCCTGAAATGCACGTTGCACCAGTCCTCCAGGCAGTCGATAGCTAGCCTCCCCGCCAGGCAGTCCATAGCTAGCCTTCTCGTAGTGTAGTTCTTGTAGTTGTAATAATGTGATTATATAGTCAATATTCCCGTGTCTGTGTGTTTCTCTGCTACTTACTGATTAGCAACCCCGCACCTCACTTACAAAACTGGTCCTTCGAGCCGGATCGAGTAAGTAGCAATGAGTTACAACAGTACAATGCGACAGACACGGAGTGCAACAAGAGCTATGGAGAATACGATCGGTCAAGATTCGGAATTGCGTGCTTCGTCGTTCTCCAGTGTACAGCCAACGACGCCTCAGCAGCCTGCCAGGAGCTCCGTGGTGGGTGGTCATAGTGACCACGGTGAATTACCGCCATTGGAGATGACATCGGTTTCAGCGCACACAGTGCGCGCGCCGTGCAGTGTTAGCCACGCGTCGACAAGACTTAGCCGGGCAAGCCGCGAAGCACTAAGAATGCGTGCCGAATATGAGGCGGAGGTCGAGATGGCTAAGGTAAAGGAAACGTTAATAAAGAAGAAGCTAGCACTCGACATGGCGGAACTAGCAGCGAAGGAAGACGAAGAGAACAATGCGCCGGCGAGCGTCGCAAGCGGTGAGAATTCAGCACGTGTTACGAGCTGGCTTGACGACGTATCTGCCGCTGCCCGCGCATCCGAGCGCCCCGCGCTTATCGTCACCACGCGGTTGCCTGCCACCCCGACACGTGGGCCCCAGGAAGAACAGAAAAACGCTCCGGCGAGCGTCGCAAGCGGTGAGAATTCACCACGTGCTACGAGCTGGCTTAACGACGCGCCTGCCGGCCCCTGCGCGTCCAAGCGCCCTGCGCCTGGCGTCCACACGTGGTTGCCTGCAACACGTGCGCTCGAACCCACGTCGTCGCAGCCACCACCCCAAGCATCACCAAATAGGCAGTTTCAAACTGACATTGATCGGCTGGCGGAGGCCATCAGCAAGCTAGGACAGACGCGAAGTATGTCACGACAGGTACACGAGATACCTTCATTCGATGGTAACGTTGCAGATTGGCTCAGTTTTGAGAAAGCCTACCGTAGTACCAGCGAGATGCATAATTTCCAACCATTTGAGAACATGGCCCGCCTTCGGGTGGCGCTCGTTGGTGAAGCGAAAGCTGCCGTCCGCGACCTGTTGAGAACTTCTTCTGATCCCGAGGAGGTCATGAAAGCCCTCGAAGACGAGTTCGGACATCCTATTCGCCTGTTAGAGTGTGCCATTAGGAAAGTGCGTGATTTACCTAAGGTCTCCGAAGATGGACTCGCAATACGCAAATTCACGACTACAGTACGTAATTGTGTGTCTGTGTTACAAAGTATACGGGCCGATGGTTATTTAAATAACCCGCAATTAGTCAACGAACTAATAGGTAAATTAACACCATACCAACGCGCGCAGTACGGGCAATTCGCGATGCGTTTGGATAATAGTAGTGTTGATTTAAGAGTGTCTCCAAATTTATACATTTTATTGGACTTTCTCAGTCAGTTGACACGTGCGTCGTCGTATTATGCACCGATAAGCTTGAACGTCGCTAATGAAAGTCGTGCTAATGTCAGTGGTAAATTCGGTGCCCGTGCCGGCGCTGAGCGCGCACCATTCGCTGCTGGTCGCCGCGATAGAGATAAGCACGTGGTTTCAGTGCGAGCGGGCGGGTCAAGTCATCGTGTGCATACGCACACAATGGAAACAATCGCCGCAGTCACTAAGAACGAGAGTAAAAACAATAACGTCGTTTGTGTTCAATGTAAAGCGGAGCACGAATTAACGCAGTGTAGTGACTTTAAAAATATGACTGTTGATGAACGTTGGGATTTAGTGAAACGAAACAAACTATGTTTTAAGTGCATTGCGAAGAGTCATTCGAGCAGGTATTGTCGTGCTAAACGTTGCAGTGAATGTAACTGGTCACACCACGTGTTACTGCATAAAAGAACCGAGAACGCGTCGCCGCCTGAGGTAGTGCCACAGCCAAATGTGCCACCGCCGACTGTACCATCTGCGCTCAGGGATTCACCGTCGGTTAAATACGAAACTATTACGAACGTTGGTGAGCATCGTGCGCGTGCTTTATTAAAAGTGTTACCGGTGACGATAGTTACTAGTTCTGGTGTTGAACGATCATCGTACGCTTTATTAGATGACGGGGCGTCCGTTTCAATCTTGGACGATAAATTCGCGAGTGATGTGGACGGACCAATAGTGCCTCTTAAATTGATAACTGCACGCGGCCATTGTGTGACCGACAACAACTCACGATATATAAAGATCGTAGTGCGCGGACCGAACGGAGTGAGTCATGACATTGCAGTGCGTACTATGCGTAATGTAAACTTGCCGTCTCAAGCGTTACCGGCGCGAGTGCTCGAAGACAACGCACACCTGCGGGACCTGGATTGCAGCGAGATGAGGGACGCGAAGCCTATGTTGTTGTTGGGGCAGGACAACTGGAAGCTTATAGTTGGAAGGGAGATTCGTCAAGGTAAATCTGGTCGACCAGTTGCTTCTCTTACTAGCCTAGGTTGGGTCGTCCATGGCCCGCTAGGTGGGGGGTTTGATGGTAGTGAACTCGACTTCGCTAATTGCATATCCACGCCACACGACGATTTACACGAGTTAGTTAAAAGTCAATTTGAACTAGAAGCAATTGGTATTACACAAGCTCTGCGTAAAAATTGTAATTCGGAACGGGCGTTACAAATACTAGGTAAAACATGTCGCCGCGTGTCAGATGACGTCCCCCAATGGGAAGTAGGCTTACTATGGTCTCGTAATAATGTAGAGTTGCCCGATAATTATAAATATGCGCGTAAACGCCTAGCCGGGATAGAAAGGAAAATGGATCGTGACCCCTCTTTTGCGGACGCCTATACGAAACAGGTAGACCGCTTATTAGCTTCTGGTTACGCGCGTAAAGCTGAGGGTGTTAGGGCAAGTCCCGCGTGGTATTTACCTCACTTTGGAGTCCTAAACCCTAATAAGCCGGGCAAGTTGCGTTTAGTATTTGATGCTGCCGCCACGTACCAAGGTACATCTTTGAACAATAATTTACTCAGCGGGCCCGACTTAATGAATTCTTTGCTAGGTACCCTAATTAAATTTAGAACAGGCCGTATAGCTTTCACTGCTGACATCGCGGACATGTTTTTGCGAATTAAAATTCTCGAGGCGGATCAAGGGGCTCAACTGTTTTTATGGCGCGGTCAAGATCGAGTTAAGGAACCTTCGATTTACGTCATGACCTCAATGATCTTCGGTGCAGCCTCCTCCCCGACTTCAGCAATTTATGTCTTAAATAAAAATGCGGAAGAGTTTAAAGACACATATCCTGTCGCGGTTGAAGCTATACGGAAAAAGCACTACGTAGATGATTATTTAGATAGCGCGGACTCTGTTGACCTGGCACAACGACTGATCACGGACGTCACCCACATCCACCGAGCTGGTGGTTTTGATATCAGGGGGTGGGTGACGAATTCACCCGAATTACGAGAAAAGTTACCAGGCGTTGTTCCGGGTCGAGTCAAATTAGATAAGTCTGAGAATGAGCGCACACTGGGAATGATCTGGTGTCCGTCGAGCGACTGCATGAAGTTTGACCTCTCCTTCAAGAGACTACCAACAGAATTAGTGAAAGGCCAGACCAAGCCTACTAAGCGCGAGTTCCTTAAGATTATTATGAGTGTTTTTGATCCACTTGGGCTAGTGTATCCATGCGTTATCCAGTCTCGAGTCCTTATGCAACGTATATGGCAGTCGGGAATACTGTGGGATGAGTGCATCAAGGACCCCGAGGCAACTATTTGGTTTCAGTGGCTGAACCAACTGAAAGCTCTATCGAATGTAGTTGTACCCCGGTGGTACGGATTGCAACGGACAGCCGTAGATATTCATGTCTTTGGAGATGCCAGCGAAAAGGCGTACGCTGCCGTAGCATTTCTAGTAGGTACCGACATCGCGGGCAATAGGGTATGTACAATGGTAGCTGGCAAGGCGCGCGTAGCACCCGTGAAGGTAGTGTCAATTCCGCGTCTCGAATTACAGGCAGCGGTTTTGGCGTGCAGATTGGCCGTAACCGTAAAAGCTGAAGTCGATTTCGTTATCAACAACCTCTACCTCTGGACTGACTCAAAGACAGTTCTTATGTGGATCAATTCTGATGCACGAGATTATCAAAAATACGTCTCTCATAGGTTAGCTGAAATTGATAGCTTAAGTAAGAGAAGTAACTGGCACTGGGTGCCTTCCGAGTCCAACCCTGCTGACGAAGCGACAAGGATGGACTGGCCTAATAACAAGGGCATGTGGCTTTCGGGTCCCCCGTTTCTCTATGATCCACAGGTGCCATGGCCGAGCTACAAGCGTGAGGAGTTTCCCGCTGATGACACAGAACGCTTCGAGAGGGTGTTAGTAGTGGGTGACAACCCTAAACCCCTAATTGACGTGAAACGCTACTCCACGTGGACGAGAGCGTTGCGTGTCTTCGCACGCGTTCTCACCTTCATAACCGCGTGCAGAACCAAGCAGAGGATAGCAGTAAGTACGCTCACGATAAACAATATACAGGAAGCTGAGCGTTTGTTACTTAAGCAGTCGCAGGCACGATCATTTCCAGAAGAACTGAGCACGCTGCGAGTTGGGCTTCCGTTGCCTAAATCAAGTCGTTTGCTGAAAGTCGACCCCGCGGTGTATGACGACGAGCTGCTTCGTGTCAGGGGACGCCTTGGAGCTTCAACGGAATTATCATTCGACGAGAAACACCCCGTAATCCTTGATGGAAGTTGTCCCATCACACGGCTCCTTGTGCAGCACTACCATGAACGAGCAATGCATGCCAACCACGAGACAGTCGTCAACAATGTACGAGAGAGGTTCTGGGTTACTTGCATTCGGCCTACTGTGAAGGCTGTCGTTGCACGCTGCCAGCATTGTAGGGTACAACGCGCGCAGCCCAACCCTCCGAAGATGGGTGACTTACCACTCGTCAGGCTCACCACCACTCGGCGAGCATTCGTTAATTGTGGGATCGATTATTTTGGTCCCATGGAAATCACTATAGGACGGCGCCGGGAGAAACGCTGGGGTGTGTTGTTCACATGTCTGACTACACGCGCCGTCCATCTCGAGTTGGCTGCATCACTCAGCAGTGACTCTGCCATACTTGCCTTACGCCGCTTAATAGCGCGTCGCGGGCAACCTGCGATAATTCTGAGCGACTGTGGCACAAATTTCGTAGGAGCGAACAAGGAACTCCGTGCTGCTCTGCGAGGCCTGAATGCCGAACGACTGCGAGGTGAGGCTTTGGCTAAGGGCATCGAGTGGCGATTCAACGCGCCTGCTGCGCCGCACATGGGGGGTGCATGGGAGCGGCTAATTCGCTCTGTAAAGAATGCCCTACATGCTACTCTTAAAGAGCGAGCACCATCCGAAGAAGTGCTTCACACCGTCCTTTTGGAAGCAGAGCTGATAGTGAATAGCCGCCCTCTCTCGTATGTCACAACTGATCCGGACCAGCCAGTAGTGCTCACTCCAAATCATTTACTGCTTGGCACAACGGCAGGTGATACTTGTTTGACAACTTATGATCCCTCCGACCTCGATGCTCGTCGCCTATGGAAGAAGGCGAATGGGCTTGCTGAGATGTTCTGGAGGCGGTGGACAAGAGAGTACCTGCCCACTCTTCAGAGACGTCAAAAGTGGACCACGGTTACGAACTCTGTGAAAGTAGGTGATGTGGTTGTGTTATGTGACGGCAAACAACCGCGTAATATGTGGCCCCGTGGCGTAATAACTAAAATGTACCCGGGAAGGGATGGACATGTACGTGTGGTAGATATAAGGACACCTACCGGGTCGCTGCGTCGACCCGTTGCCCGAATAGCCGTGCTACCTACTGACGGTACATTTGTCGATTGAAGTCTCCAACTGGGGGGTGGTGTTAAGGAGCACGGCTTGGGTTATTGTAAGACTGTATCTTTTAGTATTGTTTTGTACCCTTATTGTTGTTTATTGTGTATGCGCCGCGTTGTTAAGGAACACGGCTTGGGTTATTGTAAGACTGTATCTTTTACTATTGTTTTGTACCCTTATTGTTGTTTATTGTGTATGCGCCGCGTTGTTAAGGAACACGGCTTGGGTTATTGTAAGACTGTATCTTTTACTATTGTTTTGTACCCTTATTGTTGTTTTATTGTGTATGCGCCGCGTTTCCGCATTGGCGCGGGGAAAGGATAGCGGGGGGACTGTTGCACGTGGCCTGAAATGCACGTTGCACCAGTCCTCCAGGCAGTCGATAGCTAGCCTCCCCGCCAGGCAGTCCATAGCTAGCCTTCTCGTAGTGTAGTTCTTGTAGTTGTAATAATGTGATTATATAGTCAATATTCCCGTGTCTGTGTGTTTCTCTGCTACTTACTGATTAGCAACCCCGCACCTCACTTACAACCGGACTAAATTAATCATTTTATATATAAAAACAGAACGAAGAAAAATACAGCTACAATTTGATTACTTATTGATTGCCTTATTCATGTCGAGTTCATGAAATTGCTGATATTGTTGAGCAGGTATTTTCTCTAAGGAAATTGATTCAGATGAGGCAACACATAATATATAATAAATATGCCGCTGGCTTTACGTTGATATAACTGGTGTTAATGGATTCAGTTTATTTCTTTAATCACCAGCATTTGTTTAAACTTTCGCCGTTACACATATCAGAAGTATAAATCGAGACAAAACAATATAATTAGAATAAAACCTTTGGTGAGTAGCACTCACATTTATTAAAGAAATACTGTTTTAACCACGTGTTTTTAAGTTATGGCCTTACATAATATATAATCATTTTTACGAGAATTAACCCGGGCACGACAATTATTATGTACATATTCGAAATGTCAGGCTATTCAAAGATTGAATAGCCTGACATTTCGACCAGGTTGCACTGGCCTTAGCGACAGGTTGACTGAATCAACCTGGCGGTCAAACCTGTCGTGAGCGCGTTAATTCCCTTAACTTTTTTTTTTCATATGTGTGTATCCTCCTTGAAAAAGGGCCCAGTCGAGTCCGAAACTAGTCGAGCATTCGCGAAAATGAATTAGAAGATAGAATACTACCCCTCCCCCCGCATCAGGAGGAAGGAAACCTAACTCGCTTGGGGAACAACTTGAAGCCGTCGAATCACTCCGGTCGGGCCGGCCCATTTCTGATAAATGATATGATAACTCTCCCACGGTTAATTATCTTTTCAATGGCAAAAGCTGGCATGGTTCAATGTTATGTTAGTTGAAGAAGCAAGTATCTCTTTTAGTCCATGTAATTGTGTGTTTCTAAAGTTGTGTGTCTGTAAAATGACTACACGGATGGCGGACAGTGGTTTAAGTGGTCGCCACGCCGCGCACTCATTCACACCGCACTCACGCTACGTGGGTGTTGTGGGTTCGACCCCCACATGGGACGACACTTTTTGTAATTCACAAATTGTCGTTCTGAGTCTGGTTGCTATTTGTGTTTGTTTGTAAAGTCCCCCGTGGCACAGGATATATTCCTAGTGCGGAAGTTGTCTTTTATAATAAAAATTAAATAAAAAAACCATGAAAGTTGTTCTTGCTTTTACACTGAGGAAAAAAGTTGCCTATTATTTATTATTTTCCTGTCTCACTTTCATGGCTTGATCGAACATGGTTAACCAGTATAACTTGAACTATCACTTCATAAACATAAAGATTTTCTACTAACTTCATCATCATTATCTTCTTCACGTATTGAAATCAAATGTGCTATTTAACTTGCACTAAATATAAGGAGTTTTTTATTTTATTTCATATTAAATCCTAAACTGCCAGCAACAAAGAAGTTTCTGAAAACTGGTACCTATTTACACTTAGATGCCACAATTTTCCGTTCGCTCTTCATATGACAATATGACAGTGATGTAAAAATAGCTTCAAACATAAATCTCTTACGAAAATATAACATCAATCATACTTTTTTGCGGCATCGTATGTAACTTTAACAAAGTAACAGTGTGCTTTGCTATTGTCACAATATGAAATGGCGCGGAGCAGTAAGTACCTATACTATGGTGAATGTTATATTTCGGCATCTTATAATCAGTAAATAGGTCACAGAGGTATTATGTCACTTATGTTAAACATTTATGTTCGATTAAATTTTTTATTTGGTGTGAAATTGAGGTTGTTATAATGTTACATCCTCTTATATTCACATGTATATACTTGTATATATTATAGATATACACATATGATGTATAATCCTCGCATAAAATAATGATGCACTACCGTAATTCGTCGAAATTCAATTAACAAGCTCAACGTATAATGAGCAAATCAATCAAAGGTGAACCGAGTACAGCTTGCCATTGATTGATGATTTTGTGCAGAGTTAATTGAGCAATATGCTAGAAAGCTGAGGAATATTTATATCTACTTCCATGCTAAACATTTTGTGTACGGACTGAATTAATTGAACACAGGATATAATACCGGTTGTTAGAAAAGTACCGGCACAGCAGGATAATAATTAGAATGTTTCGGAAATACTTTAAATACAAAAGTTACAGGTATTTGCCCTAGCTATCCATTGGTGATCTTGAGATGTAACATGATCACAACCTTGAAGGTTACAATTTTCAAATAGGATTACATATTTTTAAGCCCGGAATTGAAAAGAGAGGAAAAAATTACAAGTGGATAAGATCTTCAATACGCAAATTTTGACCTCTAAAGGTCACCAATCCAAGGTCAAACACACGTTTACTCTCGCGAACACTCACGAGAGGTTTATTATTCGAACATACAACATACAACAATATTCGAAGAGCGAACCAGTTGGCCCGCAGGTTTACAGATTGGTGTAAACCTGCGGGCCAACACAACCCTTTTTAATGGTTGCATATCCTAAGGGCCTCTACCCCCAGCCTCAAAAATCATGACCTCGCTTTTCTTAACATTGTACACCAGGCCATATCTTTCGACATGCTTCTCACATATGTGAACAAGCCTTCGCAGGTCACATGGCGACGCGCTTAGAAGCGCCATGTCGTGTACGTAGCTGACATTATTTAGACAAATATCATCAATATGACATCCGACTTTTGTGCTACTAAGTTCACCGATCAGCTCGTTTACGCACAGGAAATGCCGGCTCCTTCTAGTGGTAAAGTTCCACTTGTAAAAATATCTGAAAAGATTTACTTACAGAAATAAATAGCATTTATCATTTATCACTGGTTGAAAATCGTTGGTGGGATCAAGCCTCTTCTCTTACCCCACATTCCAACCCATACACATACATGCGACAAAGTACCTGCCCAGCGCATATTTTTGATTGGATTACCATACCAGTATTTTAGAATGTTTAATATTGGAGTTGGTAATTCATATTTTTCCATAAGATATCCCACGAAACCAAATCAAATGCCATCGAAAGGTCCGGAAAACAGCAATATTGTGTTTAATATCACAAAGATATATTTTAACTCTCTTTTGTCAAAACAGTGAAATGTTTTGTTTGGCAAGATACATTAGATAATTATTTCAGAAAGACACAACGAAATTCATCATCCAACAAAAAAAAAGTGTTTTATAAAATATTCGGTATTAAAATTCCGAAACGCAAAATTAGCTAATCTCTTTTGCGGCGTACCCAATATTCTGTTGTAACAATGACAACGGAAATCATTGCCTTGTTAAGGCATGTATAATAATGCATGATTGGTATGATTGATATGATATTTGATACCAGTTTTTTTTTTTGGTTATAGTTGCTCATGTGTTTCATTGACAACTAAAGGACAAATCGAAAAGAAATTGGTGATAATCAAAGAAGGAAACGCCGTTATTTTTTATACTTAATAATTACACTAGTTATTATCAATAATTATTATATATAGTTATACTAGATATTATCAATAGTTAGTTTTTATCAATAATTTACATGGAAACTAGTATAGTTCTTTTGTGCTTCAAGCTCGTCCAATGTCTAAATAATAAAGTAAATTAGTTGTTCTTTTGTATCATTTTTTTTCTAAATACACAGCTTTTCTAACTCTTTAACAATCATTTGCAGTTTTGTCTGGCATAAGTATCATTCTATCATTTATCTACCACATTACTATTTCTTGCCTCCTTTTTTTTTCTTTCCGTGCGGCAATCCCCTCGGATACCATCTATCGGTGGCATGTCGGACTCGAACCGACTAAAACCGCACGCCATCTCGGGTACTAATAGCCGGGGCTAGAAAAGAAGTCCCCGGTGCCCCGGCCATCCTCGGGCCATCTACAGACGAGTAGAGGACCCCCCCCGTGTGGGAACCCCGTTAGAGTTCTAAACCTTGCCAGGTCCCGCTCCGCCATCTCCTTCACGAGCATAACTTGCTCGCAGAAAGAGACGGCAGAGTTCCACGCACTCTCGCTCCGCACGATAGCCACAATCAGGCTATCGAGCGAGAGAACTCCCACTCCGATGGCCGGAACGAGGTCTCGCCTCTGCTCAACCCACGCCGGGCACTCTGCCAGCTTGTGGAGAGCCATGTCCACGGTCTGGCCATCGCAGTGGTGGTTGTCGCCACTCAGGCGTTGGCTCCTTGCGGATCAGACACAGGTGATCCCCGTCTTGCATACGCCATTACGAGTACTTCTGATCGTCAATCTATTTCAGTTTTGAGATCAGTAACTCTTCCTTTTCAAACCATTTATTAACAATCTCTATGAAAAGCTCAACATCTTCAATACGGATTTTTAAATCATTCTCCCACATAAACTGTTTCAAAGTTATCAAGTCAAAAGACCTCGATTATATGCTTCTTGACTGTTTAAAGTCTAACTAAGTCATAACTAACTATGTCATAACTACATAATTATATAGTTATATATATATAGAAATATATGAATTAATAATATAGAAATATTTGAATTAATAATCATCTGAAATAAATAATTAGTTCAGATGATTATTATTAGAAAAGAAAGAAAAGAAAAACTTTATTGGTGTTTTACATCACATACTTAAAATTAATAACAGTACTTGGTGAACACTAGCACTGTCAAGACAAAATGGTATTGGGTTCACCATGTGGATGACAGTGCAAAGCATGCTAGACGCTGTTATTCCATGATGTTGTCCAAGCCAATCATGGTTAAACAACTTCGAATAAGCACAACGACAATTAGTAGTGTTACATGCTATTTTAGTTCAACAACATTCTTATGAGAAATAATATATATAGAACGGCAAAGGTGGTTAATACCATACAAAGGTGGATATTACCTACCCCTTTGTACAAATTTGACCAGAAGTATTTTTTTTATGGAATAGGGAGCAAAACGAGCAGACGGGTCACCTGATGGAAAGCGATAACTTGTTCCACAGATAGTGCGAGGCAAAAGTGTCTTAAAAAGCGAACAGTGGTGGAGCGCCAATTCTCCAAGTGTGGGGATGAAAATTTTGCCGTGTCGAACGTTGGCGGAAGGTTGCGGCCGGAATTTTCCGAACTATTCCTCGGAGCACTCTCCATGATATATACGATAGAGAATGCAGAGCGAAGCTACATCTTTACATAACTCTAAGGGATCGAGCCGGTCGCAAATCTTTT